TTTGTACTACCACCACGGATATGGATACTATTGTAGTATAAATATCCATAATTACCACAGACTACATTATGTTCATATAGTCAATCTGTGGTATAAGGTATTACGAACAAAGATAGAAAAAGTTAGATTCACGACTTCCAAAGAGTATACATACTGTCAGTGCCCAGTGGACCATTACAGTATTATAATTTTTGGTATCTTTGGATTTGAATGTTTATTATTTAATTTAAATTCAAGGCTACAAACTTGTTTTACCTATTTGTCACTTTTTGAGACAACATTTTTGATTTTACTGACTCATATTTTACGATCTACCCATTTAACTCAAATAGGCTATGAAATGAATAGTTCTATGTAAATTTTACAGTATACATCCTGTCTAGTTCTTGTGGTTAGGTGGTCGGCGACAATCACATAATGGTTCATTTGATACCTACTTGAACACTAAAGATTTAGCGTTAGAAGAAATAAGGAAGTCTTAAACGCACCGGCCACCGTCAGTACAACTAATTTGTAGTTACTAGTACAAATATTTAAATTTGCATAACTTATGAGTGAAAAATTTAATATCTATGAATCAGTGTTTGCTTAAAGAATGTTTTAGAACTGCACAAGCAGCCAGTAGGTACCTGAACTTAGTTTGTATATACATTTTATTATTATTATTATTATTATTATTATGGATCAATCCACAACATGGAAAACATAATATTACAATCCACATTGATTCGTGGTTGTACTATAATATCATGATAATATAATATTTGATTATTATGAATTATAACTTTAATACATCTACTTCAAGAATCAACTGCCATAATTAAATAATATACTTTGAATTTATTAATTCAAACACACGATGTCACGACATTGTATAGATTGAGGACCTACTGTCCTTAAATGTTAAATCTGAGAAAATATATTTATAATATTTATACATATTTAATATTATATTGGGCACAGACTTAATGGAAATATATAGTTTGTGCATGCGTATTAGGAATTGCGCAACATCAGATACCTAGTGATTTTGCGGTCTATTTTTATTGTTTTACGGTATTTAGAGAAATATGTTATTAAATTTTTTGTTATATAAGTTAATATAATATAGTATTGATATACATATTATTATAATAATTAAGCACTAATAATACGAAATTGAAATATTTTTGGAAAAAAATTAAATATGCCTATCGAAAAACTATAAAAGTAAAATAAATAAACTTCATAAAAAATATATTTGGTGAAAAAGGATATCAAATTGTCTTTGCTCGGAATCGTTTTGCGTACATAATGATAAATAATTAAATAAAAATTTAATACATTCGACACCTAATATACAGTAGTCGGTCAGCAGAGCAGTATTCACTTGCGGCTATCTTTTTTGTTTATTTTTCAATATGATCTCTTTAATGTGACAGTGTACATATTAGATTCAATTTTCAATCTAAAACTACTCTCAAATTTGAATTTCGAAGGATTTTATTGACGACTTATTTTCTTTACAGACACAAAAACAAAATACAACACACATCATCCGTCATCGTAAAATCAATGTATATATTTATTGCTCCGTTCTAAATTAAAAATAAAATTTACATGCGTTTTAGTACATCTGTCACAAAATTAATTGATAAAAGGTTTTGTGTTTAACATTTTTTTTATATTATTTTTAAAGTAAAATTTAATGCGCGTACGGCGTACCTATTTTAATCTGAAAATAAATAATTATGATTCATTTTTTTTTTTTTTTAAATTTAGCGGTTTTTTTTTTAACGGGAATATTAAAACTCATATGACATGATGTTGGCAAAGTATTTTCTACCGGTTTGCAGCTGATTAACAAGATTGTATTTTCATTGTCATCCTGTAGTCGTATCATTGTGTTATCACGTGTGTAGTAGTAATTTCGGTTTATCACTTTATTTCATGTCATTTCTTTTCTTTATAACATTTTAATTCAGATTGCAGCACATTAATTTTGCTTTTAAATTTTAAATTTATCATAAAATTATACACATATAGGCATTTATAAATTACACAATGTTGATCAAAGTTAAAACTCTAACTGGAAAAGAGGTAAGTAGTTCTCTTAAATGTACCCATTAAATGATAATTATTGTTTGTTATATTATATTTTAATTTCCCATTATAGATAGAAATTGATATAGAACCCACTGATAGAGTGGAAAGAATCAAAGAAAGAGTTGAAGAAAAAGAGGGTATTCCACCTCAGCAACAAAGATTGATTTTTTCTGGGAAACAAATGTAAGACCGATTTTCACATTTTCTATTTTAAACGTAACAAACAATTTGCTTTTAGGAACGATGAAAAGACTGCCCAAGATTACAAAGTTCAAGGAGGATCTGTGTTACATTTGGTATTAGCATTAAGAGGAGGTATTTTTCTACCTGTTTGATAATGTACAAAAACAATGATTATTCTGATTTCAAACATTTTTTTCAACTATTTTATTTATTTCTATTTATATGTAACTAAATTCAACAACAATAAATAAATGAAATATTTACTATAATCAACTAGCAAAAATTTGTGTATTAAATTTGATTTTAATATTCTCACGTCAAAGTTAGATAGGTTATGTTCAAATTTAAAAACAAATATAATATACTTCATTAATATCATATTATGTTATTGTCAAACATTTTTGTTTGCCTAGATTAGATACTGAATTAATATATACTAATACAGGGTTTATAACTCTATTCTTTTGCGTATTTTGACTATTTTTTTGGGAAATACATAGTTAAAATATGATTTGGTATTTATGTAATATACCAATTAAATTTCACAAGATTTCAATTTAGATTCATGCTTGCTACTATTAGGGAAATAGATAAAAATAAAAAAAAATTTTAAATATACATCTAAAATGTATGTATACAATTAAAAACTGAAATTTAATACTGGTGATAAGTGTATATGTTACATATTTGTTATTATTTCTTATCAATAAATCTAACAATCAAAACAAATTTCAACTTTTATTGAATTATAACACAATATATTTATATTATAATTATGTATTGTTAAGTATAATTTTTACTAACTATTATAGAACTAATTTATTGATTCTACAATAAAAAATTGTAAAAACTGTAAGATGAAATTTAAGTTACTTTTTGTTCAAATTTGAGTTAATATGATAAGTTTTCTTGGTAAAACCTATCAATTGGTTCCAAATTAATCGTATTTAAATTTTTGATAATGATTACAACAATTGTGACATAATAAAAATATTATCTATGGATGTAACAATAATGTCTAATTGTTAGTATTTATTTTTACTATTTTAATTCTTAAAAGTTTTTTCTATTATTTAAATAATTTTTATTGTTTGTTTTTAAATCATTGCTATATCAGTATAAAGTTATTGCCTTACTGTCTTTCAATTTTTTTTTTTTTTTAAATTATTTGTAGATTATCTGTAGGTATATACAATTAAATGTAAGTGTTAGTTTTCTCAAATACTCAATTATTTTGTTAATATTATTTCATAATAAATTTTAGGCCCTGTTTATGAATAAATATTACAGATGTGGTTTAATGTATCAAGTATTAAAGATATTGGTTATTAACCCACAACGTTACTTAATATAAAATGATCATAAATAGCTGTAGCCAGTAATGGTTTTATAATTATTTATATGGTTGCTTCTTAAAACATTTAGAATATTTAGATAAAATATAAAAATATATTAATTTTTATTAGTACTTTGTTTTGATTATACTGAACAGAATTGAAATATTCTGTATAAAAAGTTATTTTGTAAACAGTTCGATAATATTAACCATGTATATTTAATATTAAGAAATTGAGTAATTTAACTTTTAAATCTAATTGACTTAATTTATTATTTTAGAAGTAGTATGTTTTTATTAATTTAATTTGATTAATTTATATAAGATAAATATCATATTTTAGGTAGGTTTTGTTATGTATCTATTTTTAATGCAGCTTATTATGATAACACTAGCCACTAGGTAATACAATTTTGATAAGTAGTAGGTGTAAAAATAATGAAAAATGTTTAATATGACTAGTAATCTACACAGTGTAAATGTTTTGATATTGATTTATTTTTTAATAATCAATAATTATTTAAAAAAATATATAACTAAATAAAAAAAATAATTTTATTCATATAATACATTTTCAGTTCACAGTAAATTTTTAATATACCTACAGGTTATAGCTACTATAAGTTATATTTTTTTATAGTACCTACAGTAATTAGTTAACATTTTAAAATTAAACATTCAATTCATTCTAGACTACACATAATAAATTGTTTACAAATAAAAAAACAAAGTTTGAATCTTTGGCATAAATTATATAATATATACATTTGATTTATACATTAATATTTTATTATTTAATTTCTTAAATCCAATAGACTAGTATAAAAAACATTAAAAAGTGAATATTAATTTTAAAAATTTAAATAGGATAATAATTAATCTTACATATTTATATACCGACCACTTATAATTTTATCAAATTCAAAGTAATAACTAATAGTAATACTATTGACAACATACATAGAACAAATTAATGTTTACATATTAAATATCTATTTATTGAATGCATTTTTTTATGATGACTGATTGTCGGTGAAAATGTGGTTAAATGTTGAAATATTTGTTGTTATGATTGAAGTTATGATTATTGTTTGTTATCAAACTTGTTAACTCCGTATAACATTGTTTTATTACTGGAAATTGTCTTCTGGGAGGCTTTTTATTGTTTTCTGATGTTGTACAGTCTGATGTTATTAACTTTTTACTTTTATAACGCCGATTTTGAAACCATATTTTCACTTGGGTTGGTGTCAACCTTAATCTTAATGCCATTGTTTCTCGCTCTGTAGCCGATAAGTAACGCTGTTGATTGAACCGGTGTTCTAATTCTGATATTACATCCTAAAGAAATAATCCAATAATATTGTATGTTAATTTTATAATAAAAATTTAATTTTAATTGGTATTTTAGTTACTCGTGAAATATCCAAGAACTTTTACCATAGTTCATAATTTAAATTCTTATAAAAAAAATTGTGAACTATTTCTAAAAATTTAAATTATGATTAACAATTACTAAAGGTTCTTAAAATTTAGAATATCATATATTTTTGAAAATTCCTATCCTTCCTGTACTTGTCTCCACTTACTATAAATAATTCCATTCTAACACTAGTTTACCCACATTTTTAAACATAAAATCTTTCTTCTATTTCTTTATTGATTAATCCTCTTTGTCGCTTAATATGTAATTGGGCAAGGCAAGCGTCTATCTTAAATAATAATTTAAAAAATGCTTCATTCAAGCTGTCTAGTCATGTAACTTTTTATACTTATTGCTTATTGTATTTTATTGTATACGTGAATATCAAAAATAAAAAACTACATTTTTGAATATATTCTTTTTTTGGAATCTAAAAAAAAATATAATAGCTTATAGAAATTATTAGTTAAATATTTAAGAAAAATCCCAAAAAATTAATAAAATTAATTAAAAGGTTATAGATTTTAGTTTGAAATTAGCACTATTTATCCAAATGGTCTTACGTAGTAGTTTAAAATTAACAATATTTATTAGTATCAAGATAAATTATAAAATAAAATATTATTATTTTTATATTGTATAATAGGACTGTAAAGTATAAATAATAAATGTGTTATCTATTTAATTTCATGTCAGTGGTAGAACTTCAATGAAAAAAAATAGGACGCTGAAGACTTATTTTTCAGTTAATCCACAAATGGTATACATTTTAAGGGTGTTAATTTCAAAATTGGAGGTGTTCATTACTCCCTCCTCTTCCCCAATACCACCTTTTTACCTTGTACCTATGTAGATTAATAATATTAAAATATGTATTTAGTTATACCTGAGAAAATAGTACTCTAGGTTTCCGTTTAGCTCTTTGTCTTTGATTCGTTGATGTTTTACTCGTAGATTTTTTTTTGGTCAGATCTGTTTACTATTGGTTTATCATTCAAAGTTGATTCTATAACAAACATAAAAAATTATTAGATTACATATATTTTAATTGACTTTATTATTCTTCAAATTAGTTGAAATTATATATTTATTAGATACACTTTATTAAATCAAATTAAAATCACAAAGAAAAAAATGATTAATTGAACTAAACCTCATTAAGGCTATAAACAATATTCAAAAAGTCTATCTACTCTATCCACAAGTAAAATATTATTATATTTAAATTAAATTTATTTAGACATGAAAATGAAAGGTACCTATACTATCTACGTATTTAATATGCAACTAATTGCTTGTCATTGCCTCAACAATTAATCCTTAATATGCCATTGCTCCAAAAGTATTATGCGTATATTGCGTAGGTGAGCGGTTCCCAAAGTGTGCGCCGTGGTATCTTTACAAGAGCGCTACATTTTGCAGTGATATACAAGCTCATCCATCTCATTAATGTAATATGTATACATAAATTTATACCTAATTCTTAAGAGACTCAATAAATATGTATAAATTAAGTATAATTATAATTAAATAAATATTTTCATATTACCTATTACAAATTGTTGATGGTTTTTATAAATTTTTTTTTCTGATAATTAGAGAAAGGCGCTCTGAGAAAAATCTTAATTCAAAAAGGGCATCACGAGTCAAAAAACTTGGGAACTGCTGGCATAGGTAAATAAATAAAAAAAATATATAAACACAACAAAATTCAGTTAACTCAATGGTCATACTAAAAAAAATAGAAATTAGAAAACAGTGGTAGTTTTACGGGGGTTATACGAATGTGTAAATGTATAAATTTAGCTTATTTATCCTAACATTTATTGATACCTATATTTTTTTATGTTATGCCGTGATGGTATAAAGTTTATAAAACTTATAATTATCATATATCGTGCAATAGAAAAAAAAATAAGCGGGATATGTATGTAACTATGTAAGTATATGCAAAATATTTTTGCCACCCTCCGTTGTGGCTGCTCAAGAATCGCCTTTGTTAGAAAATAATAAGTTTTAAAAATATTTAATTGACCCCAACAGTTATTAAAACAATATTAACTTGAAGGAGTAAATTGTAATATAGGTACAGTCGCATAGATGATAGTGAGTTACATAATGATATATGTTCAATTTATTTTTATCCTTTAATAATGTATTTAATATTTATTAATAAATTCTAATTTTTGGAATTATTTTTAATTGAAGTTTATTGACATAAATTGGTAGTTAATGACAATAATCGTTTTTAAATGTATTAATTTTTATGTCATATAATAAGACGTGTCCTTTGTTGGTATAGGTATTTTTTTTCATACAAGATTCTTCCTTTTTTATTTTAAATAATTAAGAAAATTAATTTGTGAACATCAAGTATTTAAATTGAATTTTTAATGGCTGCGAAACGAATAGTTTTTGAGTTATTTGATTTGATGTTTTATGAATTTTAAAACGATAGTATAGTTATTATTGATTCAAATATATCTGCATTAAAATTGCTAAACCTGTAAAAAATTTTCTGATAATAATAATTAATAACTATAACAAGAGCAAAATACCTACTAAAACTAGAGACTTGTCTATAAATAAATAACCGCCATATTTGACATTAAAGAATTATTAAGAGATATTATTTTTAATGTATGAAGTTTTAGTAAATAATTTAATAATAACTAAGAAACTACTCTTTTAAATTTGGATTTTGACTTAAGTTGCACGAAAGTTTTCAAAAATGCATAATCCACTTAATAATTTACTATTAAAAGGAAAATATTCTCATTTGAATAATAAAAGATTGTTCCGCCAAAGGATACTGCACCTCTAATCTAGATAAGCATAAGCAATTGAATCGTTTAAAATTCCAAGAATCAAAATTTGAAAAAATGCACTATCAAAGGATAAAAATATAAAAAGAGTCAGGAGAGTGATTATGCTTGGTGCGAATCATATCGTATAAATAAGCTTATATTTTTATTAAATTATAATTAAAATTATAATATACAAGACTATTTGGTTATTTTCTTACGTTCGATTAATGTTTCATAAAAATTGATTTTTCTCAAGATTTGCAATGATAAAATTGTTTTATCTTGGTTTTGAAGTACCTTACTGATAAATTATAGTAGAACTTTTAACTCTTATTATTATTGAAAATCTTGACTGTAAATTAAATTTGTATTATTAACATTTAATATTAGAAATACGTAGAATTTTTCATAACAGTGATATTTTCAGATTTTATTTAATGAAATTTATGGATAAAATTTAGTTATTAAGTTGCTTGGAATTTATTGATGTATATTGTATACAATTAATTAATAATTAGTTTGATACCTACTATGATTTATGCTTTTTTTTTAAGAGTGTAAACATTCTTAGGCAAATTAAAATTTTTGTCTAATAGTCGTCGAGTAGTTTAAATGTTTATAAATTATACCTACTTTATTATTTATGTTTTGTTGTTAATTATTATTTATTAATATGAAATAGATTTTACATAATACTAATAATTAAATTTTAAAATTATATCGTCAAGCCTAACACAAATTTAAATAAAATTCAGAATTTATGTACTTTACTTGTATAGCTATAGTTCTTGATGTACCTACCTTCTTTATATTTTATGTGAAATTGTTATATCTACATTATCATCGCACTCTTAATAATTAAGACACAATAAGTAGAAAAGATCTCATTTATTGTAATAACATTTTTAGAAGGGCCTGGGAATCTTGTTTTAAATTCATATTTCTGTTATTTATAATTTTTCTAAAAAAAGTGTGTAATATAGTTATTTTTCTTATAAAATATGCATTTATAAGGGAATATATTTCATAATAGTTCAAAAAGTTTAAAATTAATGCGTAAATACCTATGTATAGTACGATGTATTTTTTATTATCTATTATTGTAAAAAAAAACTTCATTTCTAATTTAGTTTTAAATATTATCATGCATAGAAAAAACAAAATAATTATTGTACTTATTTATTATTGTATTATTTAAAATAAAAATGTTTTTTGGTGTGAAGATTTATTTTTAAATCAGATTTGTTTAATAATTGATATTTTGTTTGTTTTTATTAAAAAAAATAAGAGCTGATATGTATAAAATATTTAAACATGCAAAAATAAGCAACATATATTTTTGGAATTGTGTTGTATTTATTGAAACAAGATTGTGTCAAACCAGATTTTTAGTACACAACTTATTTCTATGAATTATGTAAATGCATAAAGTTCTGAGCCCCGGTTAGAATTTGAATAAGTACGAGTATATATAAGTGATGTAGGTAGGTTTATATATAATGGTAGGTTTACATTTTACTTACTGCAGGATAACGGTACTGTAGAATTAATATTATCAAATTTTCTGTTTGAACTTTTTTTCTTGGGTTGTCTAATATTACGAAACTCAATTAATGGTAGTTAGAAGTATTTAATATGAAAACGTAAACCCAAACATAGGAAACTTATTTAGAAAACAGATATGAATACATATTTTTTTAATTACATTATTGATACAGGTGCATTAGATAAAGGATTATACAATTTATTATAGTATTTATCATGAACCATAATGTATCCTTGCAGTTTACAACAGATTAATATCAATAATAATTAAGCGGAAGTTTAGGTACACACAAGTATTTTATTTCGTTTTCTAATTTTTAGTATAATTGTACTGATTGACGATCATATAATGTACCTACTTATGTAGTGTAATAACAATTGAAAGGATGAATGGGACCCCATTAATTTTGTCTATAGAAATTTTTCAAAAAATTGTTGTTATTGTATAGATAAAATTATCATATATAATGATTTATTATACATTTTAGTAAAATATTATATCAGTTTAATCACATTATTTTCGAAAATTCACAGTTTATATTATGAAGGTGTTATTAGAATATTATTTTTGTTATAATATACGGATAATAAAAGTGTTGAATGTCGTCTCTTGAAAAATTTTAAAAACGTCAGTTGAAATCTTTATAATATATTCACCACTTTCAATTATACATATTATCGTGATGTACCTACATAGGTAATGACGTAATGTCATGACATATACTATATTATATTATACTTGTTTAGGATTCGGATGGAATTGAACGAGTAGACGCTTATTTCTAACCGCGGAGAAACGCATATATTATGCGATTGTAGACTTATGTGGGTGTGCACACTTACTGAAGAATTGGTCGGCAGTAGTGGCGACTGCTGTGCTGCAGGCGGTTTGATCGGTAGTATCGCGACCGGACTGAAACTGTAACAAGTTATGTCCGGTGGACCGGTAGTCATCGACGTCGCAGAAACCGGCCAGTTCCGGAGCCAACGATAGAGACGGTGGCGGCGGTGGCGGCGGATGCAGCGTCAGCGACGTCAGTTGCGGCGGTCCGCTGACGTCTGACTGCGTCCAGTACCATTGCGCCCCGTCGACGACCACGTCAGCGCCGGACGACGGATATTCCTGTGGCGACGATGACCAATTGTTGTTGCCGTATGCGTCGTGTGGACCACCGTAACCACCGCAATAACCGGTGGCAGCGGCGGCGGCTGTCGCGTCGTAGTAATAAGGTTCCGCGAAGTACTCGCCGCCGTCCTTGTGGTGCACGTGATGGTGGTGTGGATATGCAGCGGCGGCAGGTTCGCACTCGGAGGGATTGCTGCCGCAGTGATAGTCGGATGCGGTGGCGGCGGCCGCGGCGTACGGATGCTGCGGAAGGTATTCGTCGGCGAACTGGTCCATGGCGGTGGTGGTGCAACCGGTGAGTGCAGCATTCGCAGTGTGCATAGCTCTGCTGCAGTCCGTCCCCGCGGCGACGTGTCTCCTCGATCACTGCTGCTGGCTGCAGCGCGCCGCTCGTCGTCTCCGCGCGCGGACGATGCACCGCAGCCTCCGCCCCTGCACCAGGGCTCCGTCGGGGCGCACCCGCGGGGGTCCCCGCCCAAGTCTACCGAATCTTGGCCAATCCGTGAGCCTCGCGGTGTACCCGACGTCCGGAGCACATGGCCCGTCTACTCACGCCGCTGCAGTCGTTTCAAAAAACAATATCTGTACACTCTTATTATCATCATCATCATCATCATCGCTGTTATCGTATTACATATGAGTAAATAGGTTCATGTCATATGTTGTATAGGTGTATAATATTATGTTGTGTAGTCGTCGAATTTGATGTGGGTACGCGAGTGCAGATGTCCGAGTGAGGACGGTCCATAACGATGATATCATAATATTATTCCCTTATTATTGTTGTCATCATTATTATTAGGTATCTACGATATTGTTATTAAAATGTCGACCGTATCGATATGTTATTAAGATTTGAGTGGGGCGTGCGTAGTTACAGTTCAATAAGGTGTGTGTGTTTGTTAGTGTTTGTGTGTGCAAGCAAGGGCGCTCATATGGCGGGCAAGGGAGGGACATGTCCCCCCTGGGAAATGTTGAAAAATTGCTTACACAAGATTTACAATGCGTGAAGATAGGTTTGATGGATTATGCATGATAAGCGTACATAGGGAAAAAATTGATGATAAATCGAATGAATACATAGAACAAGTAATAAATATATTTGGTGTTAAAAAAAGAAATTTATAATTTTTATTTGTAAATTAATATTTTATTAAATTTATGTCATTAATCAAATGAAAATTTAATAAATAAATTTTATGGTTAATTGGTTAAATAATTATTATTTCATAATCTTCCAGTTTGATATATAAAATATAATAGTATAATGTTAAATTGTAAGCCCCTTTTCTATCTCATGGACATAATTAAAATTTTGTCCTCCCCTTGAGAATTTTTTTATGGGTGCCCTTGTGTGTAAGTGATGTAAAACATTTTTGAAAAATAATTTTCATCATGTAGCGTAGATACTACGGGTCACATCAATCTGCGAATTAACTACCTTTAGGTGTAATTCAGAACTTTGAAACCGTTCAGAATCTTTTTCTTTGTTTTTTAGCATTTAAATTACTAAAGTAGAAAGTCCACGACATTCAGACTATGATGGAGTATTATCATATTTCAATATACAATCGTTAAATATAAGGAGAAGGTACCTTCGTTATTCATTTTTATTAAAATTATTAAATAATTCTATAGATTGCCCTATTATTTATTAGAGCCATTAAAATTTCGAATTAATACCAAATCTATTAGAAATCAAAACAATTTCTTAATTTATAATTTTTTTAAAGCCTACTTAAAATTTTCACCTGTCAATATGCTGATGGCGGTAATTGGTCAAAAAGTCCGGATTCAGTTTTTATAGTCAGACAAAAAATCCGAGTACATTTTTAATGTGTGACAAAAAGTTAAAAAATACAAAATATTCTATTACATTTTCATTTATTATTATATAATTAATTATTAATCTTAATTAATTTTAATAGGTACCTAGATACGTTTATTTAAAAATATTAACATAAATAATGTTTCCTTAGACAATTCTAGAATTGTTAACTCATTGTTAGATATTTTAGTACATAAATATAGATAAATATAGATTGTTTTGTATTTTTAAATTTTTTGTTAGATCCTAAAAATGTGTTCAAACTTTTTGTCTGACTATAAAAACTGAATCTGGACTTATTGTTCAACTTTTTAAAAGACAGACTTTTCGTCTGCGATTCATTGTTAGAATTGTTAGAAAATTGTACTATATTTTATAAAGTAATTAAAAATATATTGTTAATTATTTAATTAGCCAGCAATGGAAGTTTTTTGTGTGACAAAAATAAAAACCATTGATATTTTGATAAATTTTGACATATAAATAATATATTTTTATAGTTTTTGGGTTGGATACAAAATTTTTAGTCTTATTCAAATTTTTTGTCTAACCGTTACAGATATCATAGAAATTAAATAATAACAAAGTAATAAAAGTGAAAAAGAGATGTATTTTTATTATTTATAATATTCATATAAAAGCGATAAAAAAAAGTTGTATATTATATGTATATAATTCAATGCTTTACTGTTCAGCGGAGAAAATATACTCGGTTTTTTTCTGAAGGTTTAGATACTAATAATAACTACTCTGCAATGACCAGCGATTTAAAATATTTTATTTTAAATTAATTGATAACAAGAAAAAATGTATGAATCCTTCAGTGTAATTGTTTTCTGTTTATTATGTACTTCTAATTGATAATAGGAGGGTAAACGAAAATATCTGCCGGGCTGGTACCGAATTGGTCGATCGCGATTGACTGTTTGTCGCGTTGATGTAGACGGGCAAATGTAAACTCCCCTAAAAGATGAAATAGTAAACTCCCCTAAAAACATTTTGTTACCATGTATTACACTTCCATAAATTTTTGCATTTTTATTTCGATTTTTTTTATTATTTATTTAAATTTTATTAATTAATTGATATTTTCGTTATCATTAAATTATTAAATCATTATCGTTATTATTAAATTAAGTATATTTTAGTTACATTCAATATAATAACCATTTTGTTAAAATAATTTTATTTTTGTAAATTTAAAATATATATATACATTATTTAATAATGTATTTGATAAAATTAATAAAATTCTAAGTTATTTTAATAACATTTTGATAAAATATATTAGTTGAACTAAATAAAAAAATGATTAAACCAAATAGTTTTTAATTTTTATTTTAACAAATATCTTATCTTAATATCAATAAGCATTTTATTGACTTAATATTAACAATGGTATTATTATTATTAATTAGATAGAACTGCCTCCACGTGGTGTTCTCTGGGTTACGCTAAATGGTTCTAAATGTTTTTAGGGGAATTTACGAAATTTTAGGGGAGTTTACATTTGCCCGATGTAGACAATATTATACCATATAGCAATTAAAGTACATTTATCTCAATCGTTATCTTAATTTACTGGGGTATCACCGATAATTTGCTTACTTTCAATATATAAATATATTACCATCTTATTGTATATTATACTATAGAGTCTATAGTATAAACTATAGAGTGTAGGTACATTTATATTTTATAATATCTAATTTATATTTTGCACTAATTATTAAAAATTAAAAATTACCTGTACACAAACGGGAACCAGTTCGGCCAAACCGGAACCAATTCGGTTACTCCCATCTGTTGTAATATATGTAATAAGACTTAATTCGCTGAAATGTTAACAACCAAAAATTATCTAAAAAATTGTTATTTAAATAAATTTCCGAACACAGCTAGCTAGTCATCTAGTCATTTACTTAAATACAAATATATTTAAAGTTTTGTTACCTTGCAGGTGGTTATATAATGGTGTGTATCGCTCTTTCATAAATGTTAATTTTTAAAATATAATATGTTATACTAATATTCATAGACTACTTGCTGTATTAATTAGTTAAGCTCAGAGAAAAATGAAACCAAGATGATCTATCAAACTATGGTGAAAGAAGTCTGTGAAGTAACTTTTTTATTTATGCATATTCTATTGTAAGCAGAATTAAAGGAATAGGTGGATAACTAAAACTTTAAAGTCAAATTTTAACATAATATAATGTAGAAAATTATATTCAGTTATAACAACTATTTTATCATCTGCAACCTATGGGGCAATAACTTTATACATATAAATAAAATATTCGATTTTCGTAAGCTGAAACAAAATTCATATGTGAACCTGCTAAAGAGATCTATTAAGGGTCAAAATACAAACTTATAAATCCTTACCGAATCTCAAGGAATCTATTGATATAATTTACTGAAAATGATCCTGTAGCTTTTGAGCCTATAGCTGACAAATAAAAATATAATCAATATAATATATTAATCAATAGATATTGTTATAGTAATGTGATTAAAATTTTTGAATGTCTTTCTAAATGTCAATAAAAAAAGTGTAATATAGTAGGTATACCGTAAGTGAACACCAAATTGGTTAGCATTAAGCAATGGGTCACTGAGGTCTGAGATACTAACGGTGTATACTTATATGATATTTATTAGGGGTAAGCAATAGTAAAATGTGTGTTTAACTATAAAACAACAAATCACGTGATAAAATGTAATTAAAAAAAAAAAAAATCTATTGATATAAAATTTGTTTTTGTACATTCTTTACACTATCATATAATATTATTATTTATTATAGACAACTGAAAAAACACAGATGACTCTGATCGCGAGGTGTGACTATCATGCTCATTCTTATATATATGCATATATTATGGTATGATATCAAATTGTGTAGATTATGTATATATAATTTCACTCGCGCCCGACGAGTATTGTAACTCATACGACGTTATGACTTATGTCTTAAACATCTCCGCGTAGATGATGCGGAGGACGATGTCGAGTCCGCCACCACCTTTTTGTTTATTTTAAATATTTGTATTCATCGGTGAATTTCGGCGTGTCTCGGGGTCTGGGATTTGTATTGGAAATAATATAATACATAAGGTGTCCGCAACGGAACGGATTGTCAACGCCGAGTTTATTATCTAAAACAGATGGCCGTTCGGCGGTAAATAATATATTCTGGCGCCTATATTATACTGTAATAATATTTTACGCATATACTGCATGCGGTCGCCGTCGCCGTCGTCGTCGGCACGGCGGCTGTGGCGGCGGGGTTATCTGCACCCGACCATCGGCCCCTACGAACTTACACGTTATTAATTTTTCAAAGTTTATAAATACAAAACGCCACATGGATCCGGGTATAATAAAAGCTTAATAATAACCGTTATTGTAATCTTTAGGAGAAAAAAAAATAACGAGCGGTATAAAGATACCAATGTTATGAATGATTGACTATTATTATCGAATAGCCGATTTATTAACATGTATAATATATTTTGTGTACGTATAATATTTACGCATGCGTATGTTAAATAAACATCGTTTCACGTTCCGACGAGTTAAATTTATAACATCGAACACGAGTCATCTGCCGATGTCCGTTGTTGTTCTAT